GGGGAGCAGAACAGGCAGATCAACGATGTCCACTGCTGAGGGGAGCAGCGGTGAGACAGGAGAGGTCTGCTGCGCCATGTGGATGGGATGGGGCTGGGATGGAACTCCTGCTGAAGAGGCTGCAGCCAGCTTGCAGTGCTTTGTCTAACCTGTTGTGCCCTGGGGAGGGCCCTCAAGCTCAATTCCAAGGCCCGTCTCTGCGCTTCCCTCACAGCCACCCTCCCCTTCCCATACACAATTGGTCCCTTATGGCTTTATTTCACTGTTCCCTTAGAATTCTTACCCCACATCTTATTTTCCAGAAGAGATGGGGAAATGGCTTGGGGGGGTTGAAAGGAGCAGCCTGCCAGGGTGACTCCTGTTCCTGTCATCAGGACTCAGCATCCAGAGAGATGAGTTTCAGCTTCTCCTGGTTGGAGGGCTGGGCTGCCCTCATCCAGTCACACTTGAGTTTGACTCTTTGATCATTTTTCTTAAATGAAACTATTATAAAATTTTTACTCTATTTAAGTTAACTTTCTTCATTTCTTCTAAAGAAGAAGGTTACCTAAAGGACTGATGATTGCTAGTGATTCCTCTTTCACTGGTTTATACTCTACCTCTCAGCCAAGTGTATCTTTCGGCTGACACTTCTCACTTGGGTTTAAGAGCAAAGATTCCATGTAGGCCCTGATTCTTCTCATGTCAGAAATATTAGTAGACCCCATTAGTTTCTTTTTCCTGTTAGATTTCATCAGCTGCTCTGACTTCAGCACACTTAAAGGTGGAATACAAAGTATTAGCATCCAATGTTTTGAAGACATGCATCCTTCCATTCAGCTAGTAACTATGAATTGATCGGTTCCTCATTTGCCAAATAAATATCACAGACTGTGATTTTTTGAAAAATATTTGCACTAATTCATTATATTTTGGGTTGATATTTATGTGGGCCAGTCTTTCTTTCTGAACACCGATTCTTGACACCTTCCCACAAATGGAAGTGTGTCTTTGTCTTCAGTTGTGCAGAAGCCGGACCCCGTATGGTTATGGGCTCCTTACTGCTGGGGGGTGGGGTTTGGTATCGTGGTCATCCTTATTTACATGACACCTATTTATTATTAGGAACAACTTGTATGGATAATGCCCAGCTGATCAAAATGCCAGCTTTGGCCACAAGCTGACTCTTTTATCACTGAACCCCTTAATCTGGAGCTGACCTCTGTGTGAGAGCAGAGGGTCACCTGAACCAGTCCGGCCACCTGCTATTATCTACTAAACTAAGGACCTTCAACCACAACAATAGGGGTCTGAGTCTGGAGGGTCGTCCCTGGCCAGGGCTGGGTCCTGATTGCTCCAGGGGCCTCCCGATACCAGGGGCCCTGCTGACCTGATGTGGGGGGTTTGGGGCCTTTTGGATCTTTCATGTGTCCCCTCTCTCCCAACTGCAAAGAGTCTCCATGGTAGTGAAGACTTTTCAGCTAATGCAGTTGGATTCCAACCCAAATCCTGAGAAGCTCTTCCTTGGGTATCTGTATAGTTCAAACCAGTGGTGGTAGTTTTTTGGTAGGACAATTATTTGAGAAAAAAGTGACCACATGAATTCCCAATGCAGCAGCAAAACACACACAAATGGTTCTCTGTTCTGTACAGAGGCTGGACCAACAGAAGACACAACGTGTAAGTCAGTGGAACACTGAGTATTCCAATGGGAAGTGAACAAAAAATGACTCCCTAATTTGAATATTTTCTATTGACATTTCAAAATTATCTCCTTGGTGGATAAGAGAAAATACAGTTCAAACAATTGACCACTGTTGACCACCACTTTCTAAATATTTAACAAAATGAGGAAGGCTGGTTCCTTACAGATGAGGGGAAGTGTAGCTTGTAGTTAGTATATGTAGAAACTGGTAAAAAGAAAAAAGAATATTCTTGAGCTCAGAGGGAAAGATGCATGACACCTGCAAATAATCCAAATAAGAAAACGAAGATTTAAAAAAAGAGATAAAATACTCCAATGCCCCTGTGCAGTCTTCCTGCTGCAGCAATTCAGTGTAAAGTGACCAGCAGGCGTCTGCACAGGCTGGTCCTGTGGCACCCCTGGGGCAGGGCTGGGGACACCCCACCCCTGACCTCCTGGGCTCCCCTCCAGTCCTGACATCAGTCTGGAGCTTTCTGGCTCCTCAGTGGGCCTTTTATGGTGAGTTTATAAAACCTCACTTGAAAATAAACATAAAGTTCATATGATGACAGTTCACTTTCATGGCAAGTCCAGAAAGAGGAATTGGGTTAAGCCAGTGAGATACTGTCTCCTCCTGCGCTCCAGCCTGCGTGTCTGGGCAGCTCCGAGGCCCTTTCCTGAGGGGCTGGGCCTGCTGTGTTTTGTTGGCCTCAGGGAGTTTCTCTGAGGAGGCAGAGAGGCAGCCTGGGGTTCGGGGTTCAGGTTTCTGGGGTCTGTGTTGAAGTTGAATCCTTGGTGCTGAGCTCTGGGTGCCCTGGGTGAGGCTCCCTTAGATGAGTCTTTGTGAGCACCTGCCACCCCCACATAGCAGCAGGGCCTCTGTAGCCCACAGCTGGGATCTTTCCCCAGGGGTCGCTGGGCTGATGGTGATAGTGAACCAGGCAGTTGCCCTTTTCCCTGGTGCTGGGTGACCCGGGCTGGGCCTGTCCAGGACAGGTCTGACCATGGGGAGGGGGCTCTTAGGTCAGGGAGGGCCAGGGGGCCTGGGCGGGACTTAGGGCTCCCAGGGGATGTAAAAGGGGCCCAGAGGAAATGGTCCCACCTCTCCCTGACCACAGCACCATGGCCTTTCCCTGGCTTCTCCCCAGCCTCATCTTGATGGGGGCCTCCTTTGGTAAGTATTAGGGTCTAGGGGACTGCTAGAACTGGAAGGAGGTGGGGAGAAAGTCCCTGAGATCACATTGGCTGCACAGCAGACCCCGTTTGGAGGAGTGGTTCTGTTTGGGGTGAGACCTTCAGTCCAGTCCAAGGAGAGTTTTGAGTCCCTCTGCTCCCCTGGCCTCGGGGAAGACAGTTAGCCTGCCTTTGCAGGTGGAGAGCAGCCCCGGAGGGTTTTCTGAGCACTCACATCTGTGCCAGGCGTGGGGCAGAAGATTTGGGTTTCAGAGAATGTGACTCAGGTGTGACCCATTCTGTTAGTAAGGTTTGGTTATCTAATCCCCAAACCTGCTTCCTGGGATTTGTTTTATGTAGGGTCTTAGTTGATCTTCCAAACAGAAAGAAAAACATATTTATATGTATCTGTCCTCAGGATGTAGCAAATGTTCCCTTCCCTAGATTCTTTTCTCTCTCTCTCTCAGACACTGTGCAGGCTTCACACATTCACCCCCTGGGGCTCACCCAGAACAGCGGGCTCCGTGGGGGAGCCCCTCCCTTTATCCCCTCCATGTGCCTGTCACAGCTCTGTTCCCACTGGGGTGAGACCTCAGGCCCCTCCCTGCACAGGGACCAGCCCCCTGCATTGCTAGGACGCGCCTGCAGGGGGCGCCGCTCACAGCTCCTGCTGGGGGTTTTCTGCTCTTCTGAGAAAGATGAGGAGGACATGTTTGGAGTCTCCAGCTTGAGGGAGTGGCAGGGTCATGTCCCTGGCCCCAGCAGGGGCAGGTGCTGCCTGGAGCAAGGCCTGGGGGACCTTGGAGGTGCCTGACTGTGGGAGGGGCTGGCCCTGCCCCCCTTCTTCCTGTGGCCGAGTTCTCACACCCCTGGGGCTGCTGGGGATCCCGTGTCCTGACCCAGCAGACGTGTCCGGCACATGTCAAGGGTCAGTGTGTCCTCCTTGCTCTGGACAGTCTTATCTTCTGTTTTTGGTTTTCTCCATACCTCTTTTTATGATCAGTAGTAAAATCGATATTTTATTAAGTACTTTATATTTTTAAAGTTAATGCATTGAAAAGTCACTAAAATCCCTGGAATAGACTCCAGCAGTATACAAGTGACCATGTGTCATCTGGTCTGTACAGTGTGAGAAGGGCATTTATGTGGACTCCAGGTTTGGTGTTTTAATCCCACACCTCCTGCCCATACCCATCTCTTGGAGAGTGTGCCTGTGAGGGTAGCAGAGCTTGCTCCCCACTTCATGCAGAAAATGAGCCTGGTAGAGTCAGACGGGGTGAGGTCCTGGCAGGGATGCACCGTGGCAGGGGCAGAGAAGCCTGATTCCTCATTCTGAGTCGGCTCCTCTGGCCAGGGGACCTGGATGGAGCCACCTGTCCCTCTGCATCCCTGGGGGTGACAGGCCAGCAGGCAGGGGTGTGTCCTCCAGTCTAGGTGCTGGGTGCCAGGAGGGAGTGTGGGTGGTGCTGTGCTGGCTGAGGGTGCAGCAGGTTTCTGCAGACTCACTGGACTCCCCCCTGCCCTCCCCCTGTGACCCCAGGCTCTGGGGCCCCTGCCAGTGACCCGGAGCTGAGCATTACCCCCAGGATCATCAATGGGACAGATGCTCGTCCTGGTGCCTGGCCCTGGCACGTGTCTTTGCAGGTGAGGGGAGTCTGCACCTGGGTGGGGTGCTAGTGTGCTGCTGGCCACAGAGGCAGGGTGTCTGCTCCCCAGATTGTTGTGACAGGTGTTGGGCCAGTGTTGATCTTCCCTTCTTCCTACAGACTCATAGAGGTGACATCATCTGTGGGGGTTCCCTGATCAACAGGTTCTGGGTGATCACCGCCGCCCACTGCAATATCACGTGAGGCCGGGGAGTGTCCTAGGGACAGGGGAGGGGAGCCGTCCCTCCTCAATCCTTACCTACCTGCTCCCTCTAGGAAAGATGACTTGGTTATCGCTGGGCTGTATGACCGAAGGGCCCCTTTGGATAGAATTCAGATACTGAATATTGCCCAGGTATATGTGAGACCCGCTGGGCCCACCCTGGAGGGCTGGGGCAGGAGCAGAGAGCTGCAGAGAGCCGGGGGGCAGCAGAGGGGCCTCAGTTCTTCTCTTGCCCCCGATCTTTGTGACCTGAAGGGACATCCAGATTCATTTGTCTCAGCTCCTCTTCCTGGTTCTCACCCACAGGTCTTTGTGCACCCCATGTACAACGTGAACTATCTCCTCGCTGACATCGCCCTGTTGAAGCTGTCGGCTCCTGCCCGCTTGCACGCCACTGTGTCGCCAGCTCTCTTGCCCACTGTGGATGAGCAGTTCTTTGAGGGAACTCAGTGCGCCATTATGGGCTGGGGGGACACCCACCCTAACAGTGAGTGCTCGGCCTTGCCGCTCAGATCACATGTCTGGGGTTGACTGTCAGAGCAGCAGGTAGGACCTGGATGTGTCTCATTTATTGGTTCACCAGATTTGATCAGTATCATACATGCATCAGCTTTTTTTTTTTTTTTAAGATTTATTTATTTGTACACACAGAACTGGGGTACAGGGTAGAGGTGCAGGTACAGTCAGAATTTACCAGAGACAGAGTGGGGAGCAGAACAGGCTGACTGACGAAGTACACTGCTGAGGGGAGCAGCGGGCGGGTCAGGAGGGGTCTGCCGTGCCCTGTGGGTCACCTCCTGGGCTGGGAATTGAACTCGTGCTGAAGTGGCTTTAGCTTCATAGTGCTGTGCTCTAACCTGCTGCACCTCCAGGGAGGGCCTGCATCATCTTTTTGACAATACCTCTGGAGCAAAACCTGTTCTCCTGTGTGGACACAATGTCCAGGACGTCCTTGCAGATTGCGCTCCTGTCCCAGGGACCTGCGTGAGCCAGTCCTGCAACCCTGGCCAGCCTGGACTTGCCCCAGGCCTGAGTGGGCAGGGGTTGCAGCTGCCTTTCAGAGCTGCCTTGGGATCAGGAGTCCAGAGTGGGTTCAGGGCCTGAGTCCAGCTTCATGTCCCTTCCCTGGGGTGGCCCTGCCTGACGGTCCCCTCCACATCCTGCCCAGCCCAGGGAGAACTGCCCAGCTGGTCCTTCCCTAGAAAGAGGTAGAGGGGAGAGAGCTCCCTGTAACCCCCAGAGTGGGGTCTCCAGTCAGAAGGATATCAGTGTCCTTTCCTGGGGGGACAAGCTACCTCCCACACCCAGGATGGGCAGAGGTCTTGTTTCATCAACTGGGAGCAAATTCAGCTGCTGGAGTGGGATCAGAAGGAACATGTCTCTTGGGCTCTTCTGATAGCAAAAGGGCTCAAAGGTCTGGATCTGTCCTGGCCGAGTGTAAGAAGAGCCCTCGGGGCCCTGCTGTCTTCCACACAGAAGGGGCAAGAAGGATGAGCACCCTGACCCTGCCGGCCCCTCTGTCTTGCAGACAACAAGATCCCTGTCAAGTTGCAGCAGGCCACTGTGCGCCTCGTGTCCAAGGCCCGCTGTAAGCAGCACTGGGGCAGATACCTCAGCGACTCCATGATGTGTGCAGCAGCCCACGGCACCTGCAATTGCGATGTAGGTTCTGCGCAATCACCCTCACTGGCTGTCTCCTCTTTGGAGCCCGAGAACCCTCCTTGCTGATGTACTCGTCACACGTCCATCCTCCCCTCCCCGCAACGGGAAGCAGAGCTGGGCTGCTATCTGAACAGCGCTTCTGTGCTGGCATCTGTGACAATGGCGCACAAGGCTGGGTCCAGCTGGGGAATTCAGGGTTGTCCTGCCCCTTTGTTTCTTGAGACGTGTCCTTTCTCCTACCACAGGGTGACTCTGGTAGCCCCCTGATATGCCCGAAGGATGGATTCTGGAAACTGGCGGGCATCGTGTGCTTTGGCAGTAGAAGTTACAACACCAGGATGCCCACTGTGTACACCCGTGTGACTGCATTCAGACCCTGGATCGAGGAGGTCCTGGACCACAACTGAGCCCTGATGCTCCCACTGCTGCGCCCCTTACCCCCAATAAAGCCCCTGCACAGAGCCCTGAGTGCTTGTGTCTGTGACTGGGGAGGTGGCTGCAGTGCCCCTGTCCCCCACCAGGGGGCGGCGTGCCCCTCCCTTTCCAGCTCAGAGCCCAGAGCCCCTGTTTGTCAGGAGCTGAGGCCTTTGGGTCTGGGCCTTCTGTTAGGGGAAGGACATCCTAAAGGAACTCTGCAGAGTCTTAGGGACTCCACCCCCTACTCCAGCTTTCTGGACACTACCCCCTACTCCAGTGATTGGAAACTGCAACTCCCAGCAGTACCAGGGAGAGAACTGTGAGGACCCAAGGGCGGAGCTAGCAGGAATGGATTTTCTGGGACATTTTGGGGGGATAAATAGGGCTCAGTTGCATCTCTCGCGCTCTGGCTCTCTCTCGCTTGCAAAGCAGCTCTCCTAACCGCGTGACTCGGTGTGTTCAGTCAGCCTAGCCGTAAGGTATTGCAGTTATTTTGTATCCCGCTCTCTTTCCCTGGGTTGTTTCCTATTCCTTTCTCCTTTTGTAAAAAAACCCGTTACTGACCCCTTTGTGTGTACCTGCAGTATAACTGAACTGTGAGCGTGCGGGTGAGGCCCCACAGGCAGGCGGCCCAGTCC